GTACTCCTCAGACCTTGATCCAACAGATTACCATTTTTTCCGGAACTTGGACAACTTCTTACAAGGAAAAAAATTCAACTCCGATGCGGTAGTCCAAACCGCCTTCAAAGAGTTTATTGATTCTCGCCCCCATGGTTTTTCTAGTAAAGGGATCAATGAACTACCTATGAGATGGCAAAAGTGCTTAAATAACAACGGTGCACGCTTTGATTAATTATATTTTACAAAAAAAAAATTGACTTTATATTCTCCCGTACAAAACGCCAATTTCATAAGTAAGAACCTATTATTTTCGCTGGTATCAAGCAATTTCATAGTGTTCATGAATATTTTATAGGTAAAAAACATACGTAGGTCACTCAATAAGTTTTGAGATGCTCGAAATTTAAAAATGGAACGCACTCGTGTTATACGTTTCTAAAAAGCAAATTTATTTTAAAATAAAACTCCATAAGCCAATCGCTCAATTTAAAAAAATTAAAACATAGTTCTATTAATTTTCCTGCAACCGTTACCGCGCTTTTCAATTAAAACGATGGATCTTAACCGTGAACATTCTATAGGATGCATTTCGGAGTGTGCGCAGGAATTGCAGCTTTTAATTTCTTCCTCTTCTTTCCACCATCGGACCAGGCGGTCGATGCGTCTTCACCTCTTTGTTGTCAATATTCCACGCATTAGGACCAAATGGTTTACTTCGACTTTTTTAATGCGTACAGCAAAGGAGTAGAATAATTTTCCGCGTCTATCTTTCCGTCCGAATACAATCTGAGCGTCTTCAAGGCAATAGTGAATAGGCTTTTGTTACGCTAAGACAGTGCGATTTACCACTTACAACCAGGTGGAAATGTGGTCAAGCACTGGCTTATAAAGAGTTAAAAAGAAATATTCTGATTTCTAATACAAACAAATTTATAAATACATATCTATTTTATAAAATTAAATCAATTGGATTTTCTACATTACCTTTCATCAATTTTATGTATCTGGGCTCCAGTGCTTTTTCCCCCATCCTAAAAATGCTCAACATGCATAAAGAAGATTTCCCTTCAAAAAGATAACAGCTCCCTTTTATCCCCTTACTTGTGATGGTTTCGGAGGAAGAGATAGCCGCTATGCGCAAGCAGTTGGCAGTCTTCATATTATGACAAATATTTGTCCCTACAAAATATATAAAATTTTTGTAATTCAGAAATTAATGCAGGTGGCTCGTGATGTTTTTCGTTGCCGTCGAGCGCATTATAACCACGTTGCTCTATGGTAGAGCATCGTTGCAGCTAATGAATTATGTATAGGTCGGCTCAACCGAGGATGGGAGGCGGAGCACAAAGCGTACAGAATACCGGCGTAAATATCAACATTACTATACTCTGTGATTATGCTGTTGTATTTTATATGGAGAATGACCCTTTTTACTAGTAAAGAAACGTTTAACATAAAATCTCTGAGGTTAAGAGGTTCAGAGTAACAATTCATAGGATAGTTCATTAAGTTCTTTGGTCCACAGCATCCATTCGGCCAGACGGGACGAATGTTTGTTGCCTTTAAAAGTATATAATCACTACGTTGTAATCGACCTTACTTATTTAATAAGAATATCTGTGACTCAAAATGTCAACAATATGTTAGAAGGTAGTAAAAATACATTAGCCATTTCCATTTTTTTATTTAAATATTGACATGTTTATTCTTCGTAAATTTATGAACTATAAATATAATGCAGATGTCGCAATTGGGTAGTTGAACATCGTCAATAGCATATCATTTTATTGTGTTACTTATAACAGTACTACTTTTTATAGTACATTTTAAATCAAAATAATTTTTGTTGGGATAAGAATTATAATTTTAAATTCATTTTATTTTAAAAACATGGAATTTTTTCTTCAAAATTAGTCATTTGTTTATTGATTAACGTTATGTTTTTATCGCATTTGAATCTTTTTCGTAATCATGGATAGAGTAATTATGAAATATGAGTATCGCGAACGCGGCACATGCGGCATGCAACATCAACGACGTCTACGCAGAGAATACCACGAACGAACGCGGCACCTATCTCTCCTGGCGCGCACGCCATGAATAGCCCCTTCTGGCGCGCGCGGCAGCTGTTCCAGTGTTTGACCGTTCAACATGGATCTCGGTCCTGTACGAGCAACTTCCGCTTTCATAGTTCTCTCCATGCATCTTCTCTGAACGCTTTATTATGATAAAAAGGACTTATTCTATTCCACAGCAGTTCTTTAAAACCATATAATTTATCAATTTACGGCTATTCATAGCTCGAAACGCAACTAACACAGGAATGATGAAAACAACCGTCCCAAACGGCGCGCGCGCCACAACGTAACTACTTTAATACGCGTTAAAAAAAACCAACACCTGATAGAACAGCCCGCTTCACGTTTGAGCGTTCCAACAAACAACTTGGCGCACGTTCCAAGGCGGTATTCACTTCACGCGGCTGGAACGCGCGTCAATGTGCGACCTCGTGTCTCGCATAATCGATACGCGGCTTTATTGGTTTGCCCGCTCTGTTCTGGAAATTTCGACCTGAAAAATGAACCTTATAGTCCTCAGAAAACTTTGGTCCACAATAGCGAATTAAAGGCGATTGTGGAAGCTAATGATACTCAATCTACGGCTGAATTAGTAACAGCTTTCGTCGTTAGCATCGAAACTTTTGGAACAACTTGGGTTGGAAGCTCCCCGTCATCCGCCGTACTTATCAGACCTTGCACCTATAGGCTTATACTTTTTCCAGAATTTGGGTAACTTTGGTGGGAAAAAAATTCAATATCCTAAGAGGCAGTATAAAATGCCTCTGAACAATTTGCTGCCTCCCGTCTAGCTGATTTCTTTAAGAAGGGCATCAATAAAATGCCACTCCGTTGGCAAAGATGTATCGATTGCATGGGTGATTGCTGTGATTAATAGAAATAATAAATTACGTTGACTTACTTTATAAAAAGCGACAATTTCATAAGTAAATACCTAATACTCGATTGACTAACGAATTGAATTAGAATAAGATTTTTTAACAGAAATATTTCTTTTGACAATTTATAAAAAGTATTACAAATGATTATAGTGTCCAATACCCAATTAAGACATATAACAGAGGCATTCCGTCCAAAACGCGGTTAAGTTAAGCATCTCCTTGCATTTAAAAGAAGTATTAGCCTAGATTAATCATTAAAATATTACACTATTAAAAAAAAACAATAATTTGACAATTGCACATAATGATTTTTTACAGGTGACTATTATTTGTACAAAGTAGTAACAAAAGTCATAATAAATTCCTATAACACAAAACTGCTTATTAATTTTGACAGGTGTGTGTATAACACAATACGCTCACAATAGTTATATATACATGATAGGTATGAAAGGCTAGCAGATTACACATAGAAAATAATTTACCAAGTTAAATTGCTGTAGATTTTCTTGATTGAATGCACAGAGCAAATAACAGCGGATAAATTAACAAAAATAATAAATATATGTCGTAAGTCGATGGATTTAATCAGCCAATTAAGTCATAGGACAGACTTATTGATATAACTAAATCAGCCTCTTTCTCTCGGTACGCCATTAATGCCCTCATATATCATCTCACGTGTATCGTTACGACCGAGGGAAATGAAATAGGTTAGGTACACATTAACGTAAATCATAAAAATAACCAAGAAAACAATTATACTAAATACGAGCAAAAACCTACGTCCAATAACATAGTTTGTAACATATTATGTAGATTTGCCGAGGCTACGAACTACGATTGACGGATAGCTATCATTACGAGCCACAGTTCCAAAAGGTCGCATCATAGGGTAGGTAGTAGGTAGTAGCAACATCTTCCTTTAATTAACTCTGGAATATCAAAGTCGATGGATACAAATGGCAGGACCTTGTTTCTGGTAATCTTTGTTCAACTGTGGACTTGTAAAGGTGATGTTGAAATATTGGCAAAATTTGCCTTCTACTAAATTTTAAACAGGAATTTCCAACAAACATCCTCACTCTCCTAATTGTAATGACTAATGTTTGTTTTAAAAATGACTAATATTTATCACGCATATTGTTAATTGTTAGGCTGACTGATAACCTAAATTCTTTTAGACATCCACTTACTAACTGACTGATTAAATCAACGTCCATTTTTAGCTAAATAGCACAATAAATAAAATACTTGCGATTTATTTGCGACTCATATTTAAGAAATGTTATAAGAATTAAAAAATATTAATAATATTTCTTTATAATTTTGATTTGAAAAATGGTCGGGTTTAAAGATCTTATTTAATTATATATAAGCAGCAAAATTAGAAATTTGTGGAATATTGATACATTTTTTATTTAATTATGAAATTAGTTAGCTAGTCCGAAATGTGAAAGGTACATAGTAAAGGCAAAAATTCAATATAAAGTACATATAGCTAACTAATTATAGACACAAGGACATTTTAGTAATCCTCAGAGATGATACAGATTACGTACATATACATAGCATTACGGTCGCTATGCCTGGGGTATGCAGAGTCGAAATAGCAGCAAGCTACTTGGCGCACGTTTAACCAAAAAAAAAAAAATGGGTACAGATGGAAAATTGTGAAAGAAGTGATAGGGGACTAGTCTTTGTCTACTATTTTCTATACAATTACTAACTCAATATCCCATTAGTCGCCTTTTACGACATGCTAGTCAAGTAATAGCTGTTGGCATATTCTTTTTTTATTATAACTCGCCCATTAACATGGGACCTAACCTCCATGAGAATACATACTTACATAAATTATGAACATGTTATCATTGACATAGTGACCTTTTGTCATAGGTTTTTTTTTTCATTTCTTACTTCAAAACGTCAATAAAAATAGTAGCTGTGATATTTTTAAATATGTTTGTCAACAAAAATGTCAAAATCTAGCTCATAAAATTTCATTTCAGTTAATTTAATTATTTCCTGATTTGTTAATACAAATGTTAAATCCTTATCAAGACTCTTCATTGAAAGGGTTTCTCAAAAGGAACGTTTCTATAGTCATAAAATCTGAGTATGCTGCAAATGGAGTATCTGTACTTTGCAAATACTCCCGTATGATTTCTAAATCCTTTAAAGCTCTAGTTTTTTGAACCATATTCTCTGCATCACTGGACTCTGGTTTCTCCGTCCCTATTGGGAGTAACTCTTCTTTTTCTCTTTCGCGTGATACAGGATCAGTTACTTTATGATTTCCACCAAAAACAGATCCATTCGTCCCCTGACCTGTCAAAAGTTCTTCGTCAACTGTTAGGTACATGTCGAGATGTGAAAGATCCGTGAAATATGGCTCAACATCGTAATCTCTTAAAAACTGACACAACATTTCTTCTTCATTGTCTATAAATGTTTGCCTTTCCGTTGGTGCTTCTAATTTCTTTACGTCATAGCCTGTAGACACAAAACCGGCGTTTATTACATGCGCCGGTAAACGTTCCCAAGCTTTCTCTAACATATTCAATGCCTCTAGACAAGTCATATTTCTATCTACCCCCCTTACAGCATTCATAGCTTTCTCCATAAGAAACAATCTACGAAATTCATCACGAAATCCGCTAAATATACCGTTTCTGACAGGTATTAAACCGGATGACGCCTTCCATGGGACAAAAACTAGTTTTAAATTCGACAACACAAGCTTAGAATGGATTGTTGCTCTGTCCAGAATGAGCACTGCTTTTCTATTCCGTACTTGTAGTTCCCTATTCCAATATTTGACATACTCTTCAAACATTTGCGTCGTAAAATGGGCTTGAGCATGTCTTATATAAGTCACAGGCAATGTATCTGGGTTCCTATGAGAATGCACTAAAGGGTCTTCTGTTCCACACACAACCAACTGTTTTTTATCACTACCAGTCACATTGGCACAAATGAAAATAGAAAGACGGTCTTTCACATATCCCTGAATGAATTTCTTTCCCGACATCTTTTTTATTCTGCCTTTGGATGGGTTAAAGTAAAATCCTACTTCGTCTCCTGTGTAAATGTCTTCATCGGCAATTCCAAGACGAACATCACACCAGGTTTCTTTGAAGAACAGGTTTTTCCATTTACATCCAAATGCTACATTACTATAGTCTCTTTTAGGTGGTGTACCACGCAATGAAATTTTGTATTTGGCTTTGAATCGATCCAACCACTTTCTACTGCCATTAAATGCAACAAAACCACTCTCTTTAGCAAATGTTTCAGCTATATCCTGTAGCATTTTTCCTGACACTTGTACATCGTTCGCTCTTTGGTTATGGAACCACTCCACTATCCTGGCATCGAGTATGCTGTTCATGTATTTTTTGCCCGCCTTCTTTGGTAGAGCATAGTTATCTCTATCCTCCCAAATCTCATTCACGACTTCAGGCGTCAAGTTGTACAGCTTACAGATGTCAGGCACGGATCTACCCTTATGCATTTTGCTAACAATTGCGCACTGAGTTGCATGATTCAGGTCATCCCTTTTTAAATAGACTTCATAGCTGTTCGACATGTTTTGGTTGTCACTGACATCGTTTTCTTCTGACTCTACTTCAGACTTAATGCGACTCGACGGTGGAGACGTTTTTTCTTTCGTTTTATTTCTTTTATTTTCATTTCTGTAAAAAAATAAGTTTAGATATATTAAATGAATCCACCAATTTTTTTAAATCACAATGATCTTCTATACTTATAATAAATCTGTAGAGATCAATTTTGTACATGAAATATATTTCTAAAATAACTATCAGGGGGTGATTAGTGATCGATACTGATACCAAAAATGCAAACAGTAAAATTTTTGTCTGTCTGTATATTCGTTAAAGAAACAAAAACTACTCGACGGATTTTAACGAAATTTGGTTTCATCACGCTACGATCAATAGGAGCGGAGCACTGAAGGGAAATGTTGGGGAAACTGGAGAAATTACTCCACTTTTTAAGCTTCCGTCGCGTGTGCAGCCTTAATGGTTAAAGCTACACAGAAATCATGTATAACGGAAATGTTCTCTTTAAAATTATATAAAAGATATCCCACGACAGCATATGTCTATCTTTTATGGTTGACTCACAATAACACGTGTAACTCCCGATAGCTTAGCAGTTTGAAGCTTTCTGATTATATTTGTCTACTCTTACGTTTATAACACTCTCACTCATCTCTAATTAAAAAAAGTTAACATTATTATCTATTCAATAGAAAAGAATCATAGAAATCGGTATAGAAACACCAAAGTTATACATGAAATACGCTAATAAGCCATCGCGCGTGAATACTGAATCATGCTATAAGGATTATTTTTGTGTAACGGTCGCCGCGCTCGACGCGGCTCGCGGCGGGAGGTATAAAAAGGCGGGGGGGTCCGAGTGCGAGCCTGCGCCCTCCATTCTGCCAAGGAGGGTCGCGTTCGTATACGGCTTAAAGATCTCTCGTCAGATCGGTAAGCCAATCCATAAAGGCGGTGTTTAGTAGGTAAAAGTCTCCACATAACCACGCAGCCGGCTGCGTGGTTATGTGGAGTATGCTATGAACATTCACCGCCTCCCTCCCCCACTATCCGGAGGGTTGCCCATATTTGATTCGGGCGCAAAAAAAGTGCGAGCTTCATACAATATTTGGCTGTTGATGCGAATAGACGTTCAGAGTGTTCGACCTTATTGACAGACAATAATTGATTTTAACAAACCGTGCTTATAGTCTACTCTTACGTTTAATAATTTATTTTTAGATTTCTTGGGTTGTTATTTTATAAAATAGGTATTAGTTATTTTGGTAGTGTTTAAATATTTATTAATATTAGCTTAATTATAAATTAAACTTTGTTATTTATTTAGCTATAGTTTTAAATAGGTACCTAGGTATCAAATAGGTTATTTCATTCGATTAGACGTAGTTTAGGTACCTACTTATATATTTTTAAGAATTCAATTTTGGATTTAAGGATTTATTTAGGATCCGTTTTATTATTTAAGTAGGCATTTAGATTTTTTTTAAGTGTATGGTAGCTATAGTTAGGACCTCTGACGTAGATTATTTTGTTAGGTAACTGAATGCTGTCGATTAAAAATAAAACGGTTTACGGTGACGTAACAATTATATTAAATAGGGACAATTCTTGGCTATGCGAAAGATCCATTTTAAATCCTCGCAATGACCAGGCATCTTTCTTTTTTTTTTTTTTTTTTATAGGATAGGGTGACAAACGAGCACACAGTCCACCTGATGGTAAGTGGTTGCTGTGGCCCATAGACATCTACATCTATCCTCGATTACGAATCAAAATGCAGATGCGTTGTCACCCATGAGGACTAAGATGGAATGCCTCGTTTCCAGTAAAAAGGGTCTCCGGTTCTCTACACTCACCATACGAAATACAGCAGCATCAAGCTACTATTTCACGCTGGTATTCTGTGAGAGCGTGGTCCTTCCCCGGTCGAGCCGACCCATTCGTGCTACAACTATACCACTAATATAACTGCAGCATGGCTCTACCACGTAAGAAATCTGAGATTAATAACAAAATACTGTCGAATATACAGGGGGAAAGCAAAGTTTATAGTTCAATAAATAGAATGGTCGATGAACAAGAAGCCCGATACAATTTTTAAATTCTTTAAATATGCCCGGACTTCCTTCTCATGAAATTTGTTTAAAATTTGGCATTCCGATTATTCTGCTCCGAAATTTAAGACCACCACAACTTTGCAACTCGGCTAAAAGTAACCCAGTTGCAACAAAATATAATCGAGGCTCAAATTTTAACAGGTTGCGGTGCAGGAGAAACCGTCTTTATTCCCAGAATTCCCATAATACCAAATAATTTTCCATTCCAATTTAAAAGAACGCAATTCCTAGTATCAGTGTGTTATGCAATGACAATTAATAAGGCTCAAGGGCAGACTTTTCGTATTGCTGGAGTAGATCTCGGTGTCAGTTGTTTCTGTTGTTGTGAATGTTCAGTTGTACGTCGCTCTTTCCCGGGTTAGCAGTTCTAGAAATCATTATGTTCACGTGCTGGACGGGTCAACTTTCAACATAGTTTAACCGGAAGCTTTACGCTGAAGTATTTTTGTTCTATAAGTACTTAAGCCTCATGTTAACGTGATCTAAACAATATTACCAATATATTAACTTATTAACACACAAGGAGTTACACTCCATCCAAAGCCCAGCGACACTATAACATATATAGGAATGTCGTCTTAGCAAAAGTTGTTTAGGATGATGGGCATTTCCTGTTGACTTACAAAAATGAAAGATCTAGAACGTCTCAAATCGTCTCGCGAATCACGTTGTTTTCCCGTCCCCGGGCTCTTAGAATTCAACATCAGACGTTTCAGATCTTCGATTTTGACGACCCCGTTGTCGCTGGCATAAGCAACAGGATCCGCGTACGAAGTCGCGGCCAGAAGCTAGTATATAATACGTTTGATATGTTTGGCAATCAAAATCAAAATACAGCTACGAACGAGGATGCTCACCAGCCCGAATATATTAGTTATGGCAATTATTGAGATTATTTTATATTTAAAATCTACTTTCAGTTTGACATATTAAGGTTCCTGTGACCAGGCATGAAGCGACAAAATAAATGAGGTAAGAGTAATAAATTGGAACCTCTTTTTTGCCTTTTTATCGGCCTCTATTAAAATATTATTATTTATAAAAATGGAAAGTTGTGAAGCACATTAATTTATAAATAAAATTACACTTAAAATTTGGCCTAATGGTTACTACACTTTTCATCGGCAATTCGTGACACGTCATCAACAAGCACCGGAGTAGATGCTTCTGAGAGAAATTGTGTCGGTGTCGGCAGATTGTATGATTCGTCGTATACAAACGGCTTCGTCTGCTTACAAACGCTCGCAGATTTGCGAAAGGCCGAAGACAAATTCATATGTCTTCGTCTGATCGCAGAAATGGGCAGATCATGATGTGCCTAGTGATATCACGCCATTTCATGATTTGGCCCATGATGCCGTTTGTATAGTGATAAATCATACAATCTGCCGACGACAACGAGGTGGTGCGAGCGATCTGTCTGTGTTGCGCTGTGGATCAGTGGGTGCACTTGCTTGACTTACTATACAAAGAATTAAGACTTACTTTACATGCGCATTGGACTAAAAGTATCATATCATTTTGATACGTGTCGTCTGATACGCAAGATGCATGCTGTGTACACGTACCTTTAAAAGGCAAAAGAACATCGACTATAATGACCGATATTCCGATTAATTAAATAAATATGCATATCATTTCATTTAAAAAAATACACTTAGAATGCACCGATTTTTTCCATTCAACAATTTTATAAGTAGACTTAAAATTTGACTGAATTTACTTGTTATGACTAAGTATTTAAATTAACATAAAAAGTATTGTTGAAAAATATTTTTTGTTGTATATGATGTGTAAGCGATAGGTTAATCTAGTCCAGTTTAACCCCCATAAGACACAAGTTTGCGCGTTAACCGCTAAAAAGAACCCTTTTGTAGTATCTCCTCAGTTTCAAGGCACTCCCCTTGTTGCTCAGCCAGTATCGGAATCCTCGGCGTCGACATATCGAGTGACGTGCAGTTTCGTGGTCACTTGGAAGAGAAGGCTAAATTGGCCTCTAAAAAGCTTGGCGTGCTCAGCAGAGCGGGACAGTATTTCATGCCGGCACACCGCCTGCAACTTTACAAGGCGCAGGTTCGGCCGCACATGGAATACTGTTCCCATCTCTGAGCTCGGGCTCCCCAGTACCAGCTCCTTCCACTTGACCGCATCCAGCGCAGAGCGGCTCGTATCGTCGACGACCGAGTGCTTTCCGATCGGCTCGATTCACTGGCACTGCGAAGAGATGTTGCATCTCTTTGCATTTTCTTTCGCATACACCATGGAGAGTGCTCTGAGGAATTGTTCGGATTAATCCCAGCCGCCAAATTTCGTGAACGCACTACGCGGCAAACGTCCCGATACCATCCACACCATCTGGATGCTTGGCGGTCCACCACTGTACGTTTCAAGAGGAGTTTTCTTCCGCGCACAACCTCTCTGTGGAATAGTTTACCACCAGCGATTTTTCCGGACCGATACGACCTGGGGACCTTCAAGAAAAGAGCTTACTCCTTTCTAAAGGGCCGGCAACGCACCTGCAATTCCCCTGGTGTTGCGGTTGATCATGGGCGGCGGTAGTCACGCCGCGTTTGCCCCCTCTTCTATAAAAAAAGGTAGTCCCAAATAATTTTTGGAATTCTATGATTTATTAGAAGGAGTTCTAAATATTTGTAATTAAGGTAACATCTTATCATTTAAGAGGAATATACAAATTTTACTCTACAAACCCAACTTTAACTGTGTAGGCAGTGTAAGAATACTATCCCATGGGTATCGTAATAGACCTGGCAAACCTGGTTTGTTTCGTTCTGTCGCCTCTTACGAAGAGTAGCACCGTTTTAATAATAACAACTAAAATATAAAAAAAACCTTAGTAAGCCTTATTCCATATTTTTTGCATGCCTTCTGGTAAAATATGGTGGAATCTGCACTATATATTTGTCACCACATTCTGTATTACCCAAATTTGCAATATAAAGAAATTCATTCATTCATTCATTAGAACATGTTCAGCCATTGACTTTAATTGGCTTTACCTGCCTTACTTGTTTGCGCCTTGCATTAACAAAAGATCTCACAAATGTTTTGAGAAAATTTCAATGAAATATGTCGTACTCAAGTTCTACATAGTAGTGATGAGGTGCAGCATTGTCAATGTCAGGGTATCGACTGGACATGCAGTATTCTGCCTGTCTTATGTGTGGCCAAATATTTAAAGAAATTTGTGTTACTAGTGTAAAACTGACTAAATGGAAAGTGGCACTATGAAAACAGTATTTATTAATTTACAAGAACTATAAAAACGGTTAAAATTTAAATATACAAATGGCCTCTGTATGAGAGCAATGTTATATAAAATGTTAGTTGTAAATAATTATTAATATAAAAGTAAATGCAAAGAGAATATCATCACTATGTTTAGTAAATAGATTCAAAAACATATCTATGGTGGAGGGTAAGCATGTTAAGTGTAGAATAAGGGATTCCATCCTATTTCTCTCAGTGGCTATATATAAATTGCGGCAGCTGATTATCTATCTCATTCTGTAAATAACCATATCGTCTATGGTTATTTACAGAATGACACACATCTGACATCCACAACTTTCAGCAACCAGGATGGCGAGATTTAGGAATGAGGTGAAATATTTGACAGATTTCCATAGCAGGGGAAGTGAATTCCTTAAAATGTAAACATATATGTTGCTTTCTGAAATACTTGTTATATTTCATATTAGCTAGATAAAAAATGGGTAAACCAAGAATGAAATAAAAAAAATGTTACCGTGTAGTGGCGGTGTAAGAATATCCACTGCCCCATACCATCCCGTGAGAATCGTAAGAGGCGACAGAGAGAAACAAATCAGGAGATGGGCAGCAGCGTCTACCTAATAACTAAAAATAAATACTGCTGTTGCCAACTCGTCTGCCAGGCGTGGCAACTATGGCAAATATTCCCAGTGGACTTTTGTAGGCTGTAACGGTAATGGTAAAAAAAATAGTTAAAAATGTGTAAAAAAATTAAGGAACATTAAAAAATTACAGCACTGTGGCACTGTTTTGTGTATATACATTATACATTGACTAGAAACGAAACGGATAAAGAAAATAATCAAACACTTACTTCGGAATTTCTCCAGAATTTTCTTTTACTTCATGCACACGCATATGTGCTTCCAACAGGCTCTTGGTATGGAACTTTGACGGACACTTTGGACATGGCTCTGTTGGTTCATGCGAATTCATATGACGGAGCTGAAATAAGAAGTTTATTTATCGGGAGCTTTATTTAATAAAGCGTGCATCAGTAACAGTTACTACACATTTATTTGTTAGATTTCAGTCTTTCTCAAAGTGGGCGATAACGTCCCGAGACCTAGTGTTAAGGGGCACAGAAAAAATGGGGGGCGTTGACGTGGTTTAGCGGGGGCGATGGTTAATTTGTAATTTCATTTAGATACTTTATATTTTAAAATTTACTAAAATTAAAACCTACCTAATATTCAATACAGAATAAATAGTTTATATTTCTGCCTTGTATGATGGTATATAAACTAGAAACACCTAACATAGATTTCGTAACATAGCCTGTACGCCGTACGCAATCAATTTGATGAAGATTTCAACCGATTGATCTTTCACATAGAAGTTTGTACACTATCAAAAGGAAATTGTCTGACTCGATTTTAAAATCTGTTTGACTCTGTCGTAGAGTTCTTTGAAAACAGAGACACAGAATTGCGCGACAACCACAACACGTCAAAGAATGATATCGCATATCTGACGGACCTTTATAAATTGCTTAATGCTATGAATCTCCAAGTTCAAGGCGATGACTTTAACTTAATAAATGCAAAAAATATCGTCGTTGCTTTTGTAGCCAAGCTGCTCTTACACAAAAAAAATATCGGCAGACGTGGATAATCTTTATAATAATTCCAAAATTTTCCCAATTTATCAGTATCCTGCAACAACGACGACTTCCTTGTCTACTGCCAACATTTGGAAAATCTCCACAGTGGAAATACCAGACTGGGTGTTAGATCCTTTTTCAAATGTCGACATAGCAGTATCATCCCAACTGTAAGAATAACTTATAGAAATGACAACGAACGAGGAAATAAAAATCAAATTTAAAAATGGCTAGCAAGAATTTTGGGTACAAAGTCAATCCCGTAGTTGTACACTGGATTGTGGTTGATCGTTCAACGATTTTTGATAGCATTCCCATCGTTATATTTGTGTGAACGTGGATTTAGCGCTGTGACAACGTTGCTTACTAAAAAAAGAAATTGTTTGCATGTTACCGAACTTATGACTGTTTTTAATTAAAATCGAACCTGATATCAACAAACTTGTTAAAAATCATCAAATTCATCCATCTCATTATATTAATTTTAAAACTAAAATTGATTACTTATCGATATTGTTTCTTTTAATTTGATTAAAATATATTCTTAAAATTATAAAGATGCGTTTTAATTGCTCTCACTGGTAATAATGTCTAGTTTAGAACATAAGTTTAAACACCAGAACCGACTATTATAGTACAGGATAATTAATTATAGTAATGAAATTGTGGTTTTTAAGTTTTAGGAGTGTTTATACACACAAAGCGGAGACGCTGAAAAAAAATTGATTTTTAAAGGGGGCGGTAAAAGAAATAAATTTAATAATCTTTGTCTTAGGCAAAGAGTTCTTTTTATTATTGAAAGGAAATTAGAGCCAATTTATTAAGGCTGTCTAAGTAGGTATGACTCTCTTAACTATTTCTACAGCAGAATAGCACTTTAAAGGCTGCTGTGATTTTATCTAAAGGGTATGAAAAAAATTATGAGTGTTTCTTTGTTTCACATTTATGTGTTCCAATACAATTTATTTAATTACAATATAACTTTGGTTAGTTGTAATGCCTGTGTCCTCGAAGATTTCTGGCATTGCAACGCATATCAAGCACAGCTGTTTAAACTTAAAAAATGTTTTTATAGGATAAGGGTGACAAACGTGCACACAGTCCACCTTCTGGGTACTGTGGCCCAAAGACGTCTTCATTTACCTTCAATTAAGATTCAAAATGCAGATGCATTGTCACCCTTGAGGACTAAGATAGAATGCTTTCCTACCAACGAAAAGAGTCACCAGTTCTCTATACTCAAACGAAACAGTGTGAGAGCAAAGTCCTTCCTCAATCAAACTGTAACCATAATATTGATACAGCATGGCTCTACCACATTAAAAAAATATGAAGTTTAGTAATAGGGCTGTAATCTCTCCATCATTTAATTATTATCTTCATACATAAAGATGTGAATGTTTCTTTGTTCATTTTCTATGCATTTCTATACCATAAATTTTTTTTTTTATAGGATAGGGTGACAAACGAGCACACAGTCCACCTGATGGTAAGTGGTTGCTGCGGCCCATAGACATCTACATCTATCTTCCATTTACATCAATCAAAATGCAGATGCGTTGTCACCCGTGAGGACTGAGATGGAATGCCTCATTTCCAGTAAAAAGGGTCTCCGGTTCTCTACACTCACCATATGAAATACAGCAATATATAAAACAATAAAAGCATTAAGCTACTATTTCACGCTGGTATTCTGCGATTATAATGAAACTTTGGTAAATAGTACGCGCGCCTACGAATAATTTAGGTAAAAAAGGGCATTACATCAGAAAGGCATTATGTCAGGAGCAGTTAATTCTGTAACAATTCCGATACTTACCATGTTGATTTTTAGGGTATAAGCCACACCGCAGACAGGACATATTTCCATCTTCTCCATATGTACACGACTGTGTAAACGAAGACTGAATGCTTTGTTGAAATAACGTCCGCATGGCTCACATTTGTGTCTGGAATGAATCAGGGTAGTTTGTCACATTTATTGTTTTTCTTTTATAGAGTCACAAACCACTACACAGACCACTTAATGGTAAGTAGTGACCATAAAGAATTACATCTATTATAAATTAATAATCAAAATGCCGATGCATTGTCACCCATGAGGATTATGATGGAATGTCTTCTTACAAGAAAAACAACTAGAACCATATGCACTTACTATATGAAACAGAGGCAATATGCTGTAATTTTGTACTGAATTCTATTAGAGTATGTGGCGGCTTCACCTAGTTAAGTTGACCCATTCATGCTACCACAATAATATGGCTGCAACCTAGATTCTTTTCAATAGATTGCCACAAAGAACAGCCTTGTATGACCTACATTTATTGACTTCCTGCCAGTATGCACTAATAATAGTATATACAATATATCCTTTAGTAAGATTTGTGTTAGATTCACTCAGTATAGCATTCTTCTTTTACATCACAGCCCTTGAAATACTAATACTAAACTGAATCTACTGCTGAACATGGACCTGTCCTATTTCATTTCTTTTCCGATTGCCTTGGATTATCTTTAACTATGGCAGGCAATTTATGATTACAATGACAAACGTCTTGCACCTTTAAGCTGCTGCCTCTCAGTCAGGCTATTTTATGTCGAGTGTAAGCAAGGGCAATCAGAGCTGTAGTTAAAGAGTAAATTTGGCTACTGACTTTAAAATTAATAAAATAAAATGTAGGGCTATGTATACTTAAATGTTATAGGAATTTAGACTATATAATTCAAATTTTGTGATAAATCTAATAGTGACATTATTAAGTAAAATGCTAAGCAGTGACAACATATTATACGGACATACATTTCCCCCATCTCCTCCCTGGGTGTTATAATAAGCAAATATATGAAATGTCAGCGAGACATCACAGCCATAAATAAAAATCAGTATTACTCTCCAATATCTTATGTCAAATATTTGAACACAATTAGGATAACAAGGCTTTAATATGGTAAATTTAAAGATATTAAGTGTCTTTGGTATCACAAAAAACTAGCACTGTAATTCTAGCTGCAGCTTTAAGCTGAGCAGACTGTTTAAACTTATTTCTCTATTAATCTCTTGCTATATGGATGCCCCCTTACAAAACTGTGAACTATGCGGCAACCTCATATTCATCATCAATGATTTTTTACATCTACATTTCAACACTATTTCCATGAGGCAGTTTTGCCATCTTGACAGGAAACTCAGTCACTGTGGACTCACAATGACGCACGCGATGCCAAGCGACATAGGACTTTACTGGAAACCTAATGCCGCAAGACAATTCTGCTGACTTGATGGGAAATGGATTCATAGTGACACCCTTGTTGTCAGTCAACACAGCATTATATATAAGAAACTCCATAATGCCACTTCACTTTGTTTGAAGCTATATATATCTATAATCGGAATCTCAGAAACAGCTCCAACGATTGTCATAAAATTTAGTGTCCAGGGGGTTACAGGGGCAATAAATCGATCTAGCTAGGATCCATTTTTAGAAAATGTCGTTTTACCCGTGGCAAAGAAACACTGCTACAATATCATTACAAATGAAGGTAAACTTTAACAATTCATTAATGATTATAATAGCTCAAATGGGATATCGGGCGGTCCCGACATCATAGTACCCTGGTTCAGGTCCTGTCTTCGGTCCAACTTTTTTCCTTTTTTTTCAAGTTCCCTTCTTTTGTGAGATAATCTATTATTTCGAGACCCTTTTTTAGTATTTTTTAAAAACACGAAAATTAAAATTAAACTAATTGCACTCATGATTTCTTATTCTAATAACCAGTTCAGTTTTTTCTATTGTGTCGGTAAGATCAAAAAATATTATTCATATTTTATCAGTATGTAATTTGTATCTAAATATAATTTCCAAAACACACAATTTCCAAAAAACAATCCGAGCAAAGCACGGTCCAGGTCCAGGTACTTATAATATGTTTTCTTTTATTCTTTATCCAAAAATACAAGTATGTAGTTAATCTTAATTGCAAATGCAAAGTAGGTATCTGTCTATTGGCCTCACATAGTATTACAGTCCTGCGATCTGGTTATTTTTCCCTTTTGTGTATTAGGAATATGAAACTTGCAACCCTTTAGGGCCTTAGTCATGTAGGCTTAATCGGAACCTGGTTTATAAGAGTAAATTCTTAGGAAAACCTACAGTAAGAGAAGTAACTTTGTTTTATAATAAGTAATTGCAGTTTGGTAGACCTGCATGTCAGAGAAATAAAAAATAAATATTTCGAAAACAAGTTAAGTTCCCCAACATGAATTGGGGCAGCGCTGCAGACTTGCAAAAAAACTACCTCAGAAATGAAGGGAGGCCTGTGCCCAGCAGTGGGATGTATATAGGCTGTAATTTATACCACACTTTTTGCATGATATGGACACATATGACAGTTCTTAATTAAAACATACATAAATATATATAGGAATATATCACATAGACTATGGACTTAATTTGGCATGATCCTGACGAACCTATTCATACAAGCTCTCTCAATTAAATAAGTAATTTTACTCACCTTGTAACAACTTGATGTTCTTTGGCATGTGTCTTTAAATCTACATTCTGTTCAAATACTGCATCACACTGTGGGCACTTGAATAACCTTTTTTTTTTTGGTTTATCAGGTGGCCTTCTTCTGCGTTTCGGTTTTGGGGGATTTGGGTCTGATGATGTGGCAACATTTTCTTTACGATACTGTAGGCATAATAAAGTGTTTAAGGTAAAACGTCAATGTGAAATATTTCTACCATGCATCTTTAATTTCGAAAAATAAATTGATAAATGCAATTAAAGCAACTGCTTCACAATAAGTGAAGGTTGAAGTGGTACTTTCAACTTTAGTAATTTATAACAATTTTATATTTCAGTATAAATAATTATGTTTTCGAGACCAAATTTCAGCAGCCAGTCTCAATGGAGACTAGCCACCTGTGCAGGACAAGATTTTAGTGTACAAATGTGTGCACAAATACAGGTGCATTCTCTATTCTTTTACTCTCATAGTTCGATGGAATGGTAATCCGACATGATCGGAGAGAGATTGGGCACAAGTGAGTGTAACACTACTAACTTCCTGAATTCTTGACATAAAAACCCAATAACTAACTGATTTTAGCCCAAAGGTCTTCATGATCAGCCATCGACCAGTAGACCAACGAGTATTTTGGTATCCAAACACTGACCCAACAAAACTATCGTCACAAAATATAGAAACAGCAGTAAAAAAGGTCAAATGTAATAGAGTATTGTAATACAGTCGAAGTTTTTACGTGGTAGAGCCACGCTGCAGTTATATTAGTAGTATGGTTGTAGGACGAATGGGTCGGCTCGACCGGGGAAGAACCACGCTCTCACAGAATACCAGCGTCAAATAGTAGCTTAATGCTGCTGTGTTTCGTACGGTGAGTGTAGAGAACCGGAGACCCTTTTTACTGGAAACGAGGCATTCCACCTAAGTCCTCACGGATAACAACGCATATGCATTTTGATTCGTAATCAAGGATAGATGTAGATGTCTATGGGCCTCAGCAACCATTTACCATCATGGGCTGTGTGCTCGTTTGTCATCCCATTCTATAAAAAAAATTATATCAATATAATGTTCTTTACCCCACTGAAATCCAATGGACGTTCGTCTTCGTCTTCTACTTCCTCAACTTTTACATGCACGAATACTTGTGGCATTAGCTGTTTATCGCAATTATCAACATAGTGTTTTTTTGGTGGTTTTTTCCTTTTATTAGCTTTCTTTTTGACCTTACTTTTGAGTACTGATAATACTTCATCTTCAGAAGAAATTTCGTTGTTTTGCGAGTTTTGAACTGCTGTTTCTGACGACATTTTTAAGGATATTTTAGTATAATTAAATTCTCGTTATATACATTTTCATACATATTGTAATCAGAATGTAAATAAAAATAAATATTGAATATTTGACGCCATTTTTGATAGGTGTCAAAAACCATAGATTACTGACTATATACTAGAGAAAATGTCAAAAACTGTGCAGTGCTGCCAGTGCCAAATTATTAAATTAAATTTCAAACTATGTTCGGTGAGTGACGGCCGCATCATAGACGTATTATGTTTTATCACAGACCACCCAACCTACGAGACACGAAACCATTACGATTCTCGAATCTCTTATTAAATTAGTCTGTCAAGGCTAGAAGCATGAAGGTTAGAGAACAGGAGAACAATCACTAAAAGCATAGCCCGCCTGTCCTTGAAAATTGTAGAATGCATAGCGGCGCTGACGTCGGTGAGTAGTGACTACGAAGTTAGCTGTTTATGAGTACAAGTAGGTGAAGTTAGTTGAATAATGTACAAATTTTCATTTTATTTTTTCGTAGAAAATTTTCATGCTCTGTAATTTTGTAATTTTTGACAAAAAGAAACATTAAAAAATAGAGAAATATTTTATTGTGCGTGGATGTGCAAGTGGTTGATCATCTGATCGGAAAAATATACTGAAAATGACTTTTATTGACTGTACTTAGTGATCGCAGCGCCTCACTGATGGTGTCCATATTTCTGGGACACTATTTTCTACGGTGATCGTTTTCCTGTTCTCTAACCTTCATAGTTAGAAGAAAAGTGTGCGGGTAGCGCGGGAGATGTAACTTAGAGATGTGTCACTTCCATATATCGTACGCGTAAATATGGGAGACTATGAAAACTAACGTAATTAAAGACATACGAATGATGCGTAAAATACACCGTTAAATACATGTAACATTTATTTTACGTCATTTACAACGCTAATCGCTTACCATAAATCCGTTAAGAGCGGAATGCGATGTGTCTAATATGGAGTGTAGAAGTAAGGAGTACAGACTGTGTATTAAAAAGTGTCCATAAAAAAACCGTTAAATAAGGGGAGCGCCAATATAGCTACGGGCTAAACTTTAAAGAACGTGCCGAAAAATATTAGTGGGATAGATGACTTTTTTCGAGGTTATTATTTACTAAATATAAAAATATTTTAGATTTTAGAGCTACTGAGCAGTTTAGCAGCATACTTCAAACCGTCGACAACTGCTAAGTTCATTTCATCCCAGTAGCTACTCCAGCACAATTGTGGAGAGTTTTGAACTATTATTTACTACTTACAGATAGCCACTTTTTCAACTATTCTACTATAAGAGTTGGTACTCCTTACTTCTACAACCCATAGTGCCTAAGAAATACACAAACATAATATATACTCTAGAAAACCATAACTTTGCTTCGGCCTCGGCCGCGACAGTTAGGAGAAAATATCTACATTAGGTAAAATTAACGTAATATCTTAATATATATAAATTACGTGTCACGTTGTTTGTCCGCGATGAACTCCTAAACTACTTAACCGATTTTAATCAAATTTGCACAACGTATGCAGTTTAGTCCAACTTGAGAGATAGGGTAGTTTTTTTCCATGAGTGACCCACTTTTTTTGCGAATTTAAGGATTTTTAATAGGATATGACAAAGGGTCGTCGAAAATCGCAGAAGAACGTCTCCCTGGTAAGCTAGTAAAAATGAAAACGATTACCAAAATATAATACCTAACTAAAACTTGAAATAGCATACCTAAAGCGGCTAATTGCTATACTTCGGGCATGCATTAGATTTACTCCCTGATGATGAGAAGCAGATTTTCCGCTTTTAAAAAAATATATTATAGGCGATCAAATTTCACCAAATTTTAATACTACAACGGTAAAAGTTTTCGTCAAAGTGCTATAGTTTCGGCAGGTAGTAGGGTGACTCCCTGATGAGGAGCAGTTTTGAAGACCTGCAGGTTTCTCCATAGTTACTGTCATCCACTCATAAAATTCGCCATAAATCATTTTTACCGACGATGTCTCCTTCTTGGAGTACAATTATGTCAATGAGTGAGTCAGTCAGTCAGTATGTGAGTGGGTTTGCAAAACTGTAATTTCGATTTCAAATTATAATTACAAATAGATTAATACACAAATACAATGGATGACTGTTCGTCAACACAACAAATAATAACACAATAAATAGTCGATAAACTAGCATCGATACTTTTTTGGGCATGACTTACACGTGCCGGCTGTAGCACCTCTGATTGATAGACAGAGACGCAACTATAATACTGCGTGCTTGACAAGGACAGCCTCAGAACTTCGACCAGAATACGTTGAATCCTCACGTTTTTAATATTTTAAGATTATTAAATGTTGCACTTAGCGGTAAAACGTGATTTTATCCTTCTTTAAATTATAATTCCTGCTATCACTACCACACCACTTTATTGCGCAAGTAGTATGTTTTGCCGTTTAAAAAAAATTGTAGCGCTAAGGACGCAGTGGCAGTGCACATCTCTGTTGCCGTGTCACTACTAAACAAGGTAACGTTCGTTGTCAACTATATCACAGAATAAATAATAGTACTACGTACAGAAGTTGCACTCCTTTGGTGTCAACTGCTTGCCGACGTTTAATATCCTACATAATTGTTACCTATATAGGTAATGGGGTATCTATATAGTTTTCTCATCTGGTTGGGTTCTATAAATAAATAATTATAAATGAAAATGAAAAGATAAATATACATAAATATCAATAACATAAAATAAATATGAAAGTACATAAATAAATAAAAGCCCAACCAGATGGAGGCCCTCGGCAGGGGAGACCAATTTTAATTATTATTATTTTTATAATTATATTATGTATTATAAATATGAAACAGGGTAACATTTAGTCAACGGTTAATCATATTCAAAAAAACAATAACCATTTATATGTTGTTTTTTTATTCAAATTATATTATTAGAAAAATCTTTTACATATTATTACATACAATATATAAAAATATCACATTAATTTCAAAGTTAGATCACAAATCAGTTTACATATTTTTCTAATCATTTTGTTCCAGAAATATCCAAATTTGAGATTATTTTACAGTGGTTTACTATTGTAATCCACGCACAACTGTAGGGTTAGTGTTTAATTGGAAATATTATAGATACGTCTGTACTAAAACTTCCCTTAATTATCATATTTAAAATATATTTACTAATTTTACTTGTTATCTAAATGATATACGTGACTTGACCTATGTGAATAAGGGAAAATTAAAAACTTCCTGCTAACTTTTTCATTTTCCGGGACAAATGTAGCTTGAGTTAATTCAGAGTAACCAAATCTGTTCAGTCGTTGTGGCGTGAAGGAGTAACAAACATCTTGAATCTGTTTGAATGCAACTAGGCATGGGAAAACTTTTACTTACATAGCGATAAGGTTTTGTCGTAGTATTAAGTGTGCCTCTATACTAACAAAGGCGCATAGCAGATATTGATGTATCTTCTTAAATTGGCAAATGGAAATATTGACTGTCCGGAGTTACTTAGTTAGGATTTACAACAAGAGTTCCCCAATTAAGAAAGCCTCGCTTACTCCATGTGCCGTATACCCGGACTAACTACAGGCAAAATTCTTTTATTTTAGAGTCGATAAGATTACTATAGAATGCCCGGAATCAAAGCGTTGTCAGACGATTTTGGTGAAGGTTAGCAGAATTTAATTTTCAAAGACGTACTTACTATACGTAAAAAATAAACAATAACAATAATAATTTCTTTCCTGTCCATCCCATTTGAAATACATATGTCCTTTACTGTTATTTAAATTAATATAAACTTAATTTAAGATATACATTGTTTTAATTTAGTATTCGTGAATAATTTATTAATCTATACTTATAAATAATTCAATTTTATCCAATCGAAGCCAGTGCAGGTCATTTCGCGGCTTATAATTGTTATTTTAAGTGTCTACTTGTGGACATAATTCTATTCAACTATATCTAACGTTTTAATTAATATAATAACGATATACGGTTATCAGCGGGTTTTCGCTATTTGTATTGTGCATGTTGACGGTACGGGCTTGATGAGCCACCATATATAATCCCATCTTTATCCGTACGGGCTATAATGTCTAATAGGTAGAATAAAACGTAAAATAATTTTTAGATTTGGTAAAAATATTATAATAATTAAACCCTACAATTATTTTACTCAGAATACTCTGCAATAGTCTCATTCTCTTAATGTTTAATTGTCTGAAGGTTTCACTTCAACCTTGTGTGAACTGTACACTGTTTCATTATTTTTAGTATTATGTTGAAGCATAAAACGCACAATTTGATCCCATAAAGAACCCAATTTTTACCACAAAATATTTTATTGTGTCATATGTTTAATGAATGTTGTGAATTTTTTTTTTGTAGTAATACCGGAGGTTTATTACAATATGTTACTTATACGGTTAATGCATATTAATAGGGGGTATATATTACTTAAAAATATTGTATTATTTAAAATGGTATAGTTTACTCATCTACTATGGCAACAAATGTCATGTCAACTTTAAAAAGATATAGCTGTCATTAATGGTATGAAAAAAAAACCAACGCGCTTCGTTTCTCTTTTGGAATTTATGGTACTGTAACAAGGCTCGCTTTTGTGTTTCACCACGGAAATGTTGAAAAATTTCGGTACAATCATGTCAACAATGCGTTAATAGCGTTTCTATTGCAACAATTCAGCGTTTACACGATATTGAATGTAAGCCTTTTCGTTTTATGGATCAATATCGCAATTGCCTTGTTATGTGTCCCTAGCGTCACTTCTGCAAATGGAGACCAAGTCCGGCGTCGGCATTCAAGATCATTGGATGAAGAGTGTTATGGAGCCGGCCGGTAGTGAAAAACAGATGCAAAACGACAATAGATCATCTGTGAAGCGTGAAATAATGGCTGAGCAATACAATGGTGGTGGTGACAATAACGTAACTTATGAGATGAAACAGCAGCCGAATG